GCAAGATATGACAAAATACCCATTTATAAACTATCAAGGGCTCATGCGGGAGGGGGGAGCCGGGAGGGAGGGGAAAAATGAGGACCTAATGTCGGGGGGTTAAGTGGAGAGAAAATGTTTTGAGAATGATGTACAAATATGCTTTACACAATTGATGTGCGTATGGATTGCGATAACAGTTGTATGAGCCCTAATAAAATGTTTAAACAAACAAACAAACAAACAAAAGAATTAAAGAGTGGGAAACATCTTTGCTCAGAGGATGTGGAATGGCGGACAAGGGGAGTTGGGGAGAGTTCCAAGATCTTTGTGTTTTCAGTAGAACTGCAGTAAGGCACAGCCCAAGGCCTCAATGAACCTTCATCCGGCAAACATCATTGACCAAAGTCAGCCTTGGCTTCAGGGACGAAGTCCTCCAAGTGCTGTATGGGGACCCCCCAAAAGAAGGAAGTCGGGGTGTGCATGCTGGATAGAGGTCACGACGCTCCTGGGCCTCGGGCAGCCAGGCTTCCTGGCAGGGGGTAGATGCTGCCCAGGTCATGACTGAGCATGGCTTCCCTGCTACTCCAGGACCAGTCCCAGAGGAGTCCTCTTGGACTAAGACAGCCAGGAGGTCAAGACTTCTCCTCTGGGGGGCGGAAAGGGAGCTAAATGCATGGGGCTGTGCTGCTGCTGTGTTCGTGTTGACTTTTCTTTTTAATTTCCTTGTCTTCTGACATCCCACTCTGGGATAAGGACACCTTCCCTTCCTTTTCACAGCACCTTTCTCTTTTTCATAGACTCTCTGAGAAACCTTGCCTCCGCTGGCCACGGCCCCCGCTCCTCGCCAGCGGAGTTCAGCAGCTCCAATCAGCACCTCCTCCGAGAACGAAAATCCTCCGCCCCTTCGCACTCCAGCCAGCCAACCTTGTTCACGTTTGAGCCCCCCGTGTCCAACCACATCCAGCCCTCCCTGTCCACCAGTGCGCCTCAGGAGTATCTCTACTTGCACCAGTGCCTAAGCAGGAGAGCGGAAAATGCAAGGTAGGCACTGCCTGGGGCAGGGAGGGGTGGAACAGCGAATCACAGGTCCCAGTACTGTCTGGTTTGGGGCTTAAATCTTTAAGATAAGGGAGTATATTCTTTCAGGTGAACAATCATTTATAAATAGCACACCTTCTTTTTCTGACTTATATAACCTTCACTTTTTTTTTTTAATTGACAGCATTTGGGTTGCTATAAAGTAATAATCATTATGAAATGTGCCGCTTGATTTGGAGTGGGGGAGGGAAGCATTATGGGCCGCAGCTTCAGGATTGTAAATAAATAAGTCACTTGTTGGGCTTCCTTAAGAGCATAGCTGTGAGTCTTTAATGTCATGGACTGGATCCACAGCCCACTTTTGCCCTAGAGGTGTTGTTTGGTATGGTAGCCACGATC